GTATATATATATATATATATATATATATATATATATATACAGTGGGTACGGAAAGTATTCAGACCCCCTTAAATTTTTCTCTTTGTTATATTGCAGCCATTTGCTAAAATCATTTAAGTTAATTTTTTTTCCTCATTAATGTACACACAGCACCCCATATTGACAGAAAAACACAGAATTGTTGACATTTTTGCAGATTTATTAAAAAAGAAAAACTGAAATATCACATGGTCCTAAGTATTCAGACCCTTTGCTCAGTATTTAGTAGAAGCACCCTTTTGATCTAATACAGCCATGGAGAGCAGCAGTGATGGTTGACTTTCTACTACTTTTTCCCATCTCCCGACTGCATCTCTGGAGCTCAGCCACAGTGATCTTTGGGTTCTTCTTTACCTCTCTCACCAAGGCTCTTCTCCCCCGATAGCTCAGTTTGGCCAGACGGCCAGCTCCAGGAAGGGTTCTGGTCATCCCAAACGTCTTCCATTTAAGGATTATGGAGGCCACTGTGCTCTTAGGAACCTTAAGTGCAGCAGAAATGTTTTTGTAACCTTGGCCAGATCTGTGCCTTGCCATAATTTTATCTCTGAGCTCTTCAGGCAGTTCCTTTGACCTCATGATTCTCATTTGCTCTGACATGCACCGTGAGCTGTAAGGTCTTATATAGACAGGTGTGTGGCTTTCCTAATCAAGTCCAATCAGTATAATCAAATACAGCTGGACTCAAATGGATTTTCTTTAAAAATCCTACAATGTGATTTTCTGGATTTTTTTTTTCATTTTGTCTCTCATAGTTGAGGTATACCTATGATGAAAATTACAGGCCTCTCTCATCTTTTTAAGTGGGAGAACTTGCACAATTGGTGGCTGACTAAATACTTTTTTGCCCCACTGTATATATATATATAATTAATTTAGATTAAAAAAAAAAAAAACATTTAGAATTTAAAGCATTTCCAATTCAGTTTGTTTGTGTGCACAGCGTTTTTTTTCCATTCTATACTACTACTGATTACTAGTAAAGCTACATTAAAAAAAATAAAAAATTTGTTGTCATGATACTAAACAACATAGTCAAGTAAGCTACTTACACTGTTCTTTACACCCAGAAAGTAATTTGATGACATGTAATGCCTGTTACTTATTAAAATGTCACCCTCAACCCTGAGTTCTGAGAGTCGGTCAGGACAAAGATTAGGACTAGTGCTGGGATTAGCTTTAATACGGCAGGATTACAGTCTCACAGAGATGAATGAAGAGCTCTGACCTCTTTATTATCATGATACTGGCCCAGCAGAGCGTACGGACAGTATGAGATGCTCATGGAGATGATGCCCATGCTGCTGATCATCACCATGGAGACGTAGACATTGGGGAAGATCGCCATGACAGCCGTACCGATGGCGAAGCCCAGAGTGCCCAGGATATAGATGACCTTTATGCTGAGGTCAAAGTTATCCAGGTACTTCTGCAGTACAGCTACATTCACAAAAGACATACAGATGAAGAATCACACTTGAACCGATCAGACAGTCGCATCTCTAGATTCAGGATACGTACCTGAACAGATGGCGGCGGTGGTGGCGTAAATCACCAGCCCCCAGCAGCCTATCTGAACCCCTCTGTGGTAGTTATGAAGGGCGGTGGAGTTCAGCGGGGCCTACAGGGACCGACATCAAGATTTAGTGTTAAAACTGGATGGCAGTAAAGCAAGAGCTGTGTAATGGATTTTAGTAATTTGCTAAATTTAACCATGTATCTTCAAAAACATGTCCGCAAACTTACTGCCAGCAATCACAAATAAGACAATTATTTGAAAAAAGATTTCTAATACCGAGTTTTCTGATTGGCTAAACCAGGGATTCCCAAACTTCTGTCAGATGAACTCCTTTGACGTAAACTATTTACTTGAAGGATTTTTAAGGTAATATTTGAGTAAGTTTTTGATCAGTTTATGTATTCCCTGGGAATCAAACCCACAACCTTGGCATTGCGATTAACACCATGCTCTACTGTTTGAGCTACAGGAATGCTTTCCTACTGTATATTTGGAATAGCTCAAACAGTAGAGCATGGCACTAGCAACGCCGTAGGTTCGATTCCCAAGTAATGCATGAACTGATCAAGTTTGTAGCTTGAACGCAATGCAAGTTGCTTTGGATGCATTAAAAAATAGCAATGCATTTTTCACCATTGGGTCATTCTTGTGGGTGAGTAAATGACAATAAAATCACAAGTTTGGAGTGAACGATTCCTTGAACTTAGCTTGCATTGTATGCATTCGGCAGACACTTTTATCTAAAGTGACTTCAATTTCATTCAAGTTGTACATTGGATCAGTTCATGCATTCTCTGAGAAACGAACCCATAGCCTTGGCATTGCTATTAGCACCATGCTCTACTGTTTGAACTACAGAACGCTTTCCTATATTTTTGTAGCTCAAATAGTAGAGCATGGCACTAGCAATGCCAAGGTTGTGGGTTTGATTCCCAAGAAATGCATGAACTGATCAAATGCATGTGTACCTTAAATGCAGTGTTGCTCTGAATGCCCTAAAAAAAGCAATGCTTCTCTCACTGTTGAGTTGCCCTCATGAGTAAATGACAATAAAATTATAATTTAGGGTGAAAGATTCCTTATGCTTGCACTGAAGTTGTACATTTGAACAGTTCATGCATTCCCTGGGAATCGAACCCACAACCTTGGCAACGCCAATGCAGCATGTTCTACTGTTTGAGCTACAGGAATTCTACATTATCATAGCCCAAATAGTAGAGCATGGAATTAGCAATGCCAAGGTTGTGGGTTCAATTCCCAGGGCCTGCATAACTTGATCAAATGTGTTAACTTGAATTCAATTTAAGTTGCTTTAGATGCATTAAAAAAAGCAATGCATCGCTCACTGTTGGGTCGCCCTCATAGATGACCTGCCCCATGAAGTCGGTGTAAAACACGGCCTCTGCGATGATGGAGAACCACGTGACCAGATGACACACGCACAGTCTGAACAGCTCTTTGGGCATCTTCAGCATGGACATCCAGAGCAGGCGGACGGTGGTCTCGGCCTCGCCCTCCTCGCTCTCCGTGTCCCCGCTGGAGTTGGTGTTCCCACTCTGGTGCCTCGCTCTCTGTCCATTCCTCTGTTTCTGCCGCTTCTCCATCTCGTAGATGTCGTTCATGCTGCGGGACGGTTTGATGAGGAACGCGGCGTTGGCGCGCCGGTAACGGTAGCGGTGGGATCCAACCCGGCCGTAGTAGGAGAAGGTGCATGACGACTGTCGGTAGAATGTGTGGCGTCTGCGGTGCATGGATGCGTTGGTGCTGGAGGGATTGATACCGGGCGGCCCGTGGCCGTTGAGGTCTGTCGTATGTCCGTTGGGCGCTTTGGATTGGTTGAGCTGACTGTTAAGCAGAGCTTCTTCTCCGTCACGTTCGGCCTGCTGCAGAAACGCAGACAGTCGGCTGAATTTTCCACGCAGGAACTCTTGACTCTCTACACTGCTGCTGCGCCGTGGCAGTGACCCGTGATAGGAAGAAATGCGATCTTGGAAGATAGACGGCTCGATTTCACGCAGAAACAGCATGTCGTGGTGGTCCAGCGTAGAGTCGGCCATCGCCAAAACTGAGTCGCTTTTACTTCGAACGATGTCCACGTCTAAAAAGTCCATGTCCAGCTCTCGCTCTGATCGCCGGTCCGCATAGAGGTCGTAATGCTCGTAGGACTCGTCTTCATGGATCATTTCGAGCTGGGGTTGGTGTGCTGCGATTTTAACACTGGATTCGGTTTCTGCCTCTTCATCCAGACGGTCCTGTTGAGGGCTGAACTGCTGCTCCTCGATGCTGAACAGGTGCAGAGCCACGGAAACCGTGAACAGAACCGCGGCAAACAGGAACAGAATTTGCTCTTGAGACTTGAAGGTTCGACCCAAGAATGTGTGCGTCCAGTCAAGACCACCGAGGGCGTAACCAACCGCCCCTCCGAGCCCTTAAACACAACATACACAGTTTAGCACTCATTCTATATGGACATCTATACAATAATAAAGCTTTTGGCTTTTTGACAAGCAATTTTAAAGGCAAAGTGTAAAAAATTATTTTCTTATTTAGTGTTTTTGTCTTATTTTCCATTAATCCATAATAAAAAAATTATACAAATATTATTGAATTTTAAACTTAAGATGCATTGACTTGTGAAGGAAAATTACTATACTATAATATTTTATGTCACTGATAAAAATGATTTTTATTTTTATAAAAATGATTTAATAATTTTATATTTTTATTCAGAAAATTATTTAGCTTGAAACAAGAAAGATATCTGTCAATGAGTAAGTACAAAAATATTTAATACCCCATGACATTTTTTGTCTAGTTTTAAGTATAAACTTAAATAAAAAACAAATAAATAACAGAAAAAAGTCATTTAGCTTCTCATGGTAATGTATATTGATTTAAGATTATTTAGATATTTGTACTCCAAATTACACTGCAAAAAATATATTTATTCTGGAAAATAGGGAAAAAAATACTAGATAGGAAATCTTAAATTATAAAACAAGAGCAAAATCTGTCAATGAGGTAAGAAAAATGAACTTTTCCCTTTGAATTAAGCTTATTATCTGAATTAAGCATAAACTTACTTAATTTTAATTTCAGAAAAGCATTTTTAAAAAAGCATATTGGCTTAAGTAAATGTACAAATATCTAACATTCTTAAATCAATATACATCAAAATAGTCTGCAGAAATGTTTTCTTATCTAGTATTTTGCTTCCTATTTTCCAGCATAAATATCTAAACATTCTAAGGTCAATATACTGTACATTTGCCTTGGAAATAAATTACTTGGAATCTATCAAAATTACTTGAGTTTACGACTAAAACAAAAAAATGGGCTAAGGGCTAAGAAAAAAGTCACTTTGCATCAAGTAAATATATCTTGATTTAAAAACATATAGATGTACAGTAAAAAAAAGACAATTTATCTTTTTAATAAATAATTTTTGGCCTGAATTGAGTCATAGGCTGTAGCTGACAGTCACATAAATAACTGCAAAATGAGATCAAACACAAAATAGAGTGCCAACTGCATTTATCAGCAGTGTGAATGTGGCTTATGACTCATGCCAATCAGTTCTTCAAGCTTTTCATGTTGTGATGTATGACTGAAACAAGGCTGCACCTGCAGAGAAGGCGTGGATGTTGAGGGCCATGTCCTGTTCCTCAGTGTCGGCCACGTCCAGCAGATACGCTCGTATGGGACCCTCCGTCGCATCCGCACAGAAATCCAGCACCACCACCCCCAAAACCGTCATCACGATTCCTATCGGCTGGTTATTTGGCACGTCTCCCATAGCAAGACCTGAGACAGACAGACACAAACAGGTTACGTTATGAAAAAAAAAATCTATAGAATTTTTCAGAATCAGTGCGTGTGTGTGTGTGTGTGTGTGTGTGTGTGTGTGTGTGTGTGTGTGTGTAATAATAAAAACTGAAATAATTTTAATTATTCAGATCACTAAAACGGTAATTAAAGCTATACGTAAATATATATATATAAAAAAACGTATACATTTTGTTTAAAGTACCTAACAAAACTAAAAAACAAAACTTACTAAAACAAACTAAAAACTTTAAAACTGAAAATTTAAAAGCTTCAAAATTAAAAATATCAATAAATACTATAATATTTTATAAATAATCCTAAAATAATTGTTCTAAAAGGATTTAAATTTGTTAAATGTAGCTGCATTTAAATGATGACAGAAAGCATTTTCAAAATTGCCAACATAAACAAATATTGTATATATATATAACAAATATTCATATTGATGAAGATCTACACAGTAAACATATTATAAATAAAAGTCCTTTTCAAACAATTGCATTTTCTTTGTTAAAGTTTTGGATAAAAAAAAACAACAATTATATAATGTGTCTGAAACATGTAAAATATATTAATATTCATACAAAAGATTATTTTGAAAACACAGCACAAAATTTTTTATGAAATGTTACTTCTATAATCCCGTCATGCAGAAATGACATTTTTATAGGTCAAAGGTCAAAAGTCATCAGAAATAAATAGAAACTGATGTGAAGATGAAGTTTATCACGTTAGTTGTTTGAAAGCACACACACACACACACAAAGTGGTCAATGCACTGAATGATGGGAGTTCTGCAAAGGCTAAAATATCAACAATCAATGCTAACATACAGCAGATTACACGTCAGCGCTCACTGCTTGTGTGTTCCGGAGTGCACATTTACCATTCATCAATATTTCATACAGACTTTCAGCATATATGCGACACACAGGCCTCTGGGAACTCAAACATCCCATAATGCATACAGTATGTGTCCTGACCTTGATCTGCTGCATTGTCATCCCATGAGCCATTGTACTGTACGTGTGTGTGTGTGTGTGTGAGTGTGAGTGTGAGTGTGAGTGTGAGTGTGTGTGTGAGTGTGAGTGTGTGTGTGTGTGTGTGTGTGTGTGAGTAAACGCAGACATGTATTGATTGTTCAGGCTTATTTTAGAGCTTTTCCAGGGTTTCAGTAGCATTTGTGCTTCTACAGCCTAAGCTCACGGGGAAAACATGTTTAATGTGTGTCATTTCTGGTGTTTGCTACTTCTCACAATGATCTGAATAAACCCCTAACCCAAAATCTCAAACTTTAGATTCATTCATAAATGACTCCTCACTGAGGACAGATGTGCTGTTACTTGTGATTGATTTTTGCCTGGTGAAGTATAAAATTGGGAAAAGAATCCCATAGACTTACATTGAAGAAAGGACCTGATAGTAACTTGGGGTGACATACACAATATTAGCATCATGGTACTGCAACAGTAAAATAAAAAAATAAAATAAAAATAAAAATATATATAAATAAATATATAATAAAAAAATGAAACAACATCCTGGCAAAATCCACAACATACTACCATCACAAATAAAATAAAATAAAGCATTTTATAAAAAAAATTAAATGCATCTAAAATATTTTTAAATGCAAAATAAATTAAAGTAAAATATAAAAAATAAAATTAAAATATATAATTTAAAAAATGGCAACATCCACAACATACTAGCATGTGCACCACTACAAGAAAGCAGCATGAAATAAAGTAAAAAAAGTGTTTTAAATACAAATAAAATAATAAAATGGATCTAAAATCTTTATTGATTGCTAAAATAAAATTAAATAAAATATTTAAAAATAATAAAATTAAACATTATAAATATAATAAAATCAAAATCTCAGAAAAAAAAACTCTTAGAACACCATATAAACTACTTAGCAACACCCTGGCAACATCCATAACATACTAACATCATGATGGTATACCACTACAAGAAGTAAAGTCAAGTCAAGTCAAGTCAAGTCTTTCTTAAATGAGAATAAAATAAAATATATATATAAAAAAAACGTGTAAAATATAATATAATAAAAAGAAAACTTTTAGAACACCATAGAAACTGCTTTGGCAACATCCACAACATACCAGCATCATGGTGGTGCACCACAAAAATAAAAAAAACTAATAATAATAATAAAACAAAATAATAAAATAAATCTTTCTAAAATCGGTTTTAAATGCAAATGTATTGATGCAGTATTTTTCAACACTGTTCTAATATTTAGTGTATAAATCTGTAAAACAGACACAGAGGGCGGAAGCTAGTTGTAGACTCATAGCTCTGTGTCGTCAATAATCAGTGGCAAATTCTTTAAATATGTAAACGTACTTACAGACTGTGAGTCAGCATTATTTGTTAGAACACCGGCATTGTAGTCTACTCTCCCAGGATCAGGAAACAGTCCTCCATAAAATGTGCTGCACACATCTGAATATTTGGGTTGAAGTGTTCTGGAACAGTGTTGTAAATATAACTTAACCACTGATTTCTAGTCGTGTCCTCTTTTGGAAGACCAAACAAAGTAGTTTCGCTTTCACAACGAAACACAGCGTCTTCACGACATGGCGGCGGCAGCAACAAAACTACAGTGAGAATAAAAGTTACGCCTTCTTTCTTTACGTGAACATTTGGGCGGCGTTATGCAAATCTTCCCACACAGTGACGTAGACGTGTGGGGGCGTGTTTAAACGAGGCGTTTTAGGAGGGCGTGGACGAGTCTTAACTTTTAAGAATATCTCTTTGGATTTGAGACTTTAGTCTTTGCAACTTTACAGATCTTCTTTATGCACCAAGAGCTTGTAACACTCCAAAGAGAAAGGAACAATTGAAATCGCATCATATGACCCCTTTAATATAAGACATCTTTATGAAGATTCTGGCCTTATTAATGCTGTTTTTTGAGATGGTGTTCAGGCAGGTGAAATGTGGAAGATGCAGGTGTTGAAATGTTTTAAAGGAGGCGTTTTAACATAACATAACGTGCACTGATGAATCATTCTAAACTAGGACCATGTATTAAGAAAGTAAATGGTGATTTTGATTTCATGTTGACTCTAAAGCGACAGACAGATGAGAAATTATTATTTTTTAAGAATAATATGCACCTATGAATTGTTCACTTTAAGACCAGTAACATGCCTTGAGACAGTAAACAGTCATTTGGATGTCATGTTGAGGTTGTCTGAGAGCTGCTCACCTATCAGCGAGCCGTTGAGGAAGAGCGCGACGCCCAGCAGGACGCCCACACACAGCGCCAGGATGAAGGGCCGTCTGCGGCCCCAGCGCAGCGTGCAGCGGTCACTGGCCGAGCCGATCAGAGGCGTGAAGATCAGACCCAGGATGGGGCTCAGGAACCACGTCAGGCTGTAGTATTGCTCTGGAAGACCTGAGAACCGCACACACACACGGGTATGATGTCACTTCCTGCACACGTCTTCAGTCAAAGTGCTGCTCCAAAAGCAGTTTGGGGTTGCATTACATACATTCATTGCTTTCATAAACGAGCATTAACAGTAATATGATTAAAGACCCATTACAGATCCATTAAAACCCATTTACAAAACCAGTTTAATCATTAAAATGTAAAAAAAAAAAACCCTGATACTCAGTCTAAGCAGATCAATGATGATAATACGAATGCTATCGCTAACATTATCTGATATTCAACATCCTCATCAAAATATCACATCTCTACTTCACTGAATTTTTTTTTATTTAGGCCTAAATTTAAGATTTATGTGTTTGAATCTCACACACACACAAAATATTTATTAAAAACATAAATACTTAGGGGGAAAAAGTAAAAAAAAAATTCAGCCTTCATTTAAGATTTATATGTTTGAATTATTTGAAAAATATTATATTTATTATTATATTTGAAAAATAGATTTTTTTATTGGGGGGTGGGGGGGATGGATTTGTATTTCACTTAAAAATATTTATAAAAAAGTAAAAGTATTTTGAAAAAATATTTAGGTCTAAACTGAATTCTGTATTTGAATTTCACTCAATTTTTTTTTTTAGAAAAATATAGAAATTGAATTTTTTTTTTTTTAAAAACATACACCTAAATACACCTAAATTAAAGATTTTTCTTTTGCATATAATTTTTTTATTCCCCCCCCCCCCAATTTTCACACAGTTACATTACACAGTTTTAACCTAACTAATAATAATAATAATAATGATTATTATTAAACTTAATATAATGCATATTTTTCGATCATACATAAATCATACAGATTTTCTGTAATAGAACTAATAAACTGAATGCGTTTTAAATACACAATCAAGTTTATATATTAAACATTCAGAAATCCAACTAGTCATATTTTAACCATGTTCATACATTTACCTTAAAATGACCAGATTTATGCTGATTCTGAGACATTTGAATAAATGCATTTTGAAAATATGATTATTTAAATAAAATCAAATTGATGCAAAATAGCTAATAAACTATATACCATGATTTTTTTTTTGAGTGCAGAAATCTGACAAATCTAGATGCATGTATGACTGACAAACATGCATTAAATTAACCTTATTAGTTAAAGTTAAAACTTATATTAATCCAAATGGATGGAAATTGTGTATGCAATTCAAGCACATACATCTAGGCCTAAGTATTTTTGAGTCTTTTTATCTAGCTCACAGTTGCCCCTGATTGCAGTAGGTTTTGGTGTTCGAGTTTCAGGTCAGGACGGCTGACGTCGGTCACAGCCGGCACTCAAAAATATGATCTTATGACCGGATTCAATAAGAAAATAGGATCAGACTACAAAGCAGATTGTTTGTGAGAGTAACAGGCTTATTGAAATAACTCACTCTCACATGATTCGAATCATAAATTAGGCTGCTGTGGAAATCATTATTGGGCAAGTAATCCTCTAAAAGCCTTGCAAACGTCCAGCTTACCAATACACACTACACCTTCATTGTTCCCGGAGCCGAGTCTGGTCTACAAACACTTTCCCTACATCAGCTGCTGCATGATGATTCAGGAAACATTCACGGTCAGGAACAAAACACTTCACAACAACACCAACAAACTTCAAAGTGCACTGGAAAACATCTCTTCCGTAAGAGGCTCCTCTGTTTTTATTTTAGTTAGATGTATCATAACATGAGCTTACGTTGAATTAATTTGACTGTAAACACCCCATCAAATTTTTCCGCTTACGAATTTATAGAAATAATTTTATTCAAGTGAAGTACTTGGCAAAAGGATGTTATTTAGTTTTTTCCCGCTAGAAACAGAGAGGAGACTAGAGTATAATAGAATAAAATACATTTAGGCAAGTCCTCACAGAAAAGATGGGTAAAAGAAAAAATTCATTCTAGAAAAACAAACAAACAAACAAAATAGAAATAAAAAAATTATAAAACAAAAATATTCAGTGCTCATAGAAAATGAGTAAAAGAAAATAAATTCTAAAAAAAAAAAAAAAAAGTAATTTATTCCTGTGATGGCAAAGCTGCTTTTTCAAAATATTTGATCCAAATGGACATTGTTACCCAGTAGATTAAAAATCTCAATGCAATAACAAAGGAAAAAGATCTATAATTAATGAGCGCTAATGGATGATAATAAATTGCTGAATCAGTGTTTTGAATTATTTGATTCACATCTTACTAATTGGCATTTCCAATCTCATATATTTTGCTTTTCAGAGATTATAAGGATGTGGAAGCTGCCTTAAATGCAATGAAGAATGTGGCTCGACTGATCAATGAGAGAAAGAGGCGTCTGGAGAATATCGACAAAATTGCTCAGTGGCAAAGCTCCATAGAAGACTGGGAGGTAAATTACATGAGCATCTTGGATAATATTCACACACTGATTCACTCCAGAACTGTGTGGTCTCACAGGCTCTTTTCCCCTTCATTAGGGTGAAGACATCTTGAGCAGGAGCTCTGATCTGATTTTCTCAGGAGACCTGACCAAGATCTCCCAGCCACAGGGCAAAGGCCAGCAGCGAATGTTCTTTCTCTTTGACCACCAACTGGTTTTCTGTAAGAAGGTCAGTCGCTTACCATGCCAGTGAGAGCAGAATTACTGTCATTTATGGCAGATGGTTTTTATGTGAGTTAAAGTAGTTATTTTATATGATTGTTCTACTTGCTTGGCACCACAGGATCTGCTTCGGAGGGACATCCTGTACTACAAGGGTCGGTTAGACATGGATCAGATGCAAGTGGTATTTTTTTTTTTTGAAAAACATACACCTAAATTCAAGATTTATCTATTGCATATCATTTTTTTATTCCCCCCCCCCCAATTTTCACACAGTTACATTACACAGTTTTAACCTAACTAATAATAATAATAATAATGATTATTATTAAACTTAATATAATGCATATTTGTCGATCATACATAAATCATACAGATTTTCTGTAATAGAACTAATAAACTGAATGCGTTTTAAATACACAATCAAGTTTATATATTTAACATTCAGAAATCCAATTAGTTTCAACTAGTCATATTTTAACCATGTTCATACATTTACCTTAAAATGACCAGATTCATGCTGATTCTGAGACATTTGAATAAATGCTTTTTGAAAATATGATTATTTAAATAAAATCAAATTGATGCAAAATAGCTAATAAACTATATACCATGATTTTTTTTTTTTGAGTGCAGAAATCTGACCTGTTTAATAGATGCATGTATGACTGACAAACATGCATTAAATTAACCTTATTAGTTAAAGTTAAAACTTATATTAATCCAAATGGATGGAAATTGTGTATGCAATTCAAGCACATACATCTAGGCCTAAGTATTTTTGAGTCTTTTTATCTAGCTCACAGTTGCCCCTGATTGCAGTAGGTTTTGGTGTTCGAGTTTCAGGTCAGGACGGCTGACGTCGGTCACAGCCGGCACTCAAAAATATGATCTTATGACCGGATTCAATAAGAAAATAGGATCAGACTACAAAGCAGATTGTTTGTGAGAGTAACAGGCTTATTGAAATAACTCACTCTCACATGATTCGAATCATAAATTAGGCTGCTGTGGAAATCATTATTGGGCAAGTAATCCTCTAAAAGCCTTGCAAACGTCCAGCTTACCAATACACACTACACCTTCATTGTTCCCGGAGCCGAGTCTGGTCTACAAACACTTTCCCTACATCAGCTGCTGCATGATGATTCAGGAAACATTCACGGTCAGGAACAAAACACTTCACAACAACACCAACAAACTTCAAAGTGCACTGGAAAACATCTCTTCCGTAAGAGGCTCCTCTGTTTTTATTTTAGTTAGATGTATCATAACATGAGCTTACGTTGAATTAATTTGACTGTAAACACCCCATCAAATTTTTCCGCTTACGAATTTATAGAAATAATTTTATTCAAGTGAAGTACTTGGCAAAAGGATGTTATTTAGTTTTTTCCCGCTAGAAACAGAGAGGAGACTAGAGTATAATAGAATAAAATACATTTAGGCAAGTCCTCACAGAAAAGATGGGTAAAAGAAAAAATAAATTCTAGAAAAACAAACAAACAAACAAAATAGAAATAAAAAAATTATAAAACAAAAATATTCAGTGCTCATAGAAAATGAGTAAAAGAAAATAAATTCTAAAAAAAAAAAAAAAAGGATTAAAATGGAAAATAAAATAAACTATAAATGAAAAATATTACTCATCATCATAACCGCATCAGAACGCCTCATGCAGACGACACTGATCATGTGGAGACGGGCACTGCAACAATAATTCACACGCAGAGAGGCAGAAGACTCTCACAGGAATCAGCTCTATCTTTAGTATGTGACTCCTCAACGCTTCACGTAACAGACCGGACAGTCTCTGTGTGACCGCTGACCAGAGAGTGTGTGTGTGTGATAATCCTATTATAACCCTGGACACACACACACACACACACACACACTCTCTGGTCAGCGGTCACACAGAGACTGTCCGGTCTGTTACGTGAAGCGTTGAGGAGTCGGGTTCGGCGCTGAGATACAGGACTCCAGAGGAGAACATTCCTGAAGTTAAGCAAGAGACGTCCTGATCAGCCGTTCAGACCGAGACCAAAGACTCGAACGCACACACAACACAACACATGTACTTGAGGCAAAGTCACATTACTCAGCTGGAATGAATCGCTTTGACATGTTAACTAGGAGTTAACCAGGTAACTTGGCAAGATTCCAGTCAGACAAATAAAAAAATATATAAAAAATAAATAAAATGAAAGATTCAGTGCTTACAGAAAACACAAATAAAGGAAAAATAAATATAAAATTTATAAATTGTATACAATTATTTAATAATAATAATAATGTTATTATTTGTAATTAATTATTATTTATATAAATTATATACATTTACTTAAGAATTTATAAAATAAATAATTAAA